GATGTAGCTTTCAGTCATATCAATGTTTCCTTGTGCTTTTTCACTGCCAAAGATCTTCTAAATGCTTAGCCTAAGTCTCTCTTCTTTCAAACTGCTACTCCTACTTGGATCCTTTTGTACCATTTTTCAGAAGTCTTCTCCCATAATTCATCAGCCCTTCAAATGTTTGCAAATTTGTCATCTGTAGTCATTGCTTTGCTAAGCTCTTCTGAATTAATTCTCTTGTAACTCAGTCTCACCATTTCCGTGATCATTTAGCTGCTGTTCTTTTTGAATACCTCTCATTTTGTTGTTGTGAATGCATCTAAGGCAAAGGTATTGGCGCTTCCCTAACACACCGAAGTTTCCCAGCTGCGTTTCCTACCTTTTTGCTCCTTGTAGCCTCACTCTCCTTTGTCCAAGTGGAAAATAATGATTAATTATCTGTGTGAATCATGCAGTAACTAATTCAGTCCTGCAACTCAAGGACAATTCTACTGAACAAGTCCTGTGTACAGCTTGCATACAGCGTGTCTGGTATTTTGCAGGAGAGTTCAGTTCCCTTTGAGCTGTACTTGAGGTCTCCACACAGAGCAAATGAGATGCATCCCAAAAGCAGGATTACTGTGCATAGCAGCTTTATCAGGAAAACAGACCTAGTCCCAGCCATGCAGATTGTATCACTTGAAGCAGGATAAAAAAACCTTACTAACACTCAATGGCATATTGGAAAAAAATATTAAGGCTAGCCTGGGAGTTGAAACACTTCAACGTAATCCTGCAAATGGAGGCCTTTTTTTTTCTGTCTCCATATACTTGAGATTATGATTGTACACAAATTGTCAAAACTAAGGAGATACAGCACGGGAAATGGTGTGCAATAGCACAGATTGTCCTTTTGCAAGACTTTTTATGAGACCACTGTCTGGGTCAGGCTCTTAGCACTGGCACATGCCGTTCCCATCTCCAGCAATGTCCCCTTTTAGTGACTTCATTGGATGCCCCCAGTCCCACCCCTTCCTCTCCTTCAGGCACAGTCGGAGCTGAGGTGAAGGGAAGCAGGAGGAGGTTAGGAAAATGGCATGTTGCTTCTCATATGGCACAAACATCTACTACAAATACCACATTGTGTACACAGATGCCTGAGCTGGGCCATCAGTGTCACAACTGACAGACCCTTGGGCTGGTGGATTAACTTCTGATGGCTACTTTGTGAACCTGCAAATGGAAGATATGGGGATGTTCATTCTGTAGGAACAGAAAGTAGTTGCTTAATGCAGCCAGCTAGTTTTCCTCTCTCCACTAATAAAGCAGGTCCTCACTCAAGTTCTGAAACACCGGTTGGGTGAACGTTTGCGCTCCTCAGCAGGAGCCGACTATATTTAGTGCAGAATATGCCACCTTCTAATAACAGGTTACAGATGTGCATTGTTTCAGGCAAAAGATAGGCAGGGCTCAGCTTCTTGGCATGGCTGCAGGATAACGCCTGCCATCAGTGCAGAAAGGTAGCAAGCAGAATGGTGGCGGAGAAAGTAGATGGTTGTAAGAGACTTCAAGTGGTGTCACGTTGAGCCGGGGCTATGCCTGCCCTTTGGTAGGAGGAGGTGGTAAATGGAAGCACTGAAGGTATCCCATTCTCACAGCTAAATCTTTTTTTTCATAATTTAAGAAGTAAAATAGAGCCCAGCCCAAAGGTAACTGCTGGAATGCAAACTGCTTCCTTTCTGCAGCGTGATTAATGTTGTTCTGCTGGCCTGCTGTTCTTCCAGTAAAATGACATTACATCACAACACTGAAGCATAAGTAGATTTCCAACTCTCCCTCAGCAGCAGCAGTAGTTTTTAATCCACATGCGGTGTTTAGGAGGCACAGAAATAAGCTCTTTGTTTCATGATTGCTAAGATTTTAGCGTTGGCTCATGCGTCAGGCAATTCAGAAGTATATAATAACGTCTGAAAAAACACTGCAGTTTCCAAAGAAATTCCTCCTGAGGAGACAGCTAAGGAGTGTATTTAACTAGCTGGAGAGGAAAAGATCCTTTGCAGAGCAGATGCCTTGTCTTTTTCTTCTTTCTGTAATGTGACTGCTCCTCAGATGTCTCTTCTCCAGCCAGTTCTTCTAAAATGTCTAAGTCTGAAGTGAGGTCCCCAAGTCCTACCTTGTACGACCCCTCATCTCAGTGCTACACGGAGCTCTCCGGCTTTATTGAAGCAGCAGGCATCTCAGCACTTGGTTGCTCTCATGTAGAAACCCTGTGGTTCCCCAGGCTTTGATTGCTTCTGTCAGTAGGGTGGTACATGGAGATGCCAGTGACCACTCTCTGGGAACTTTTCCTTGAGACTTGCCAGCTATTACCTTTCACAACTGGAGACTGATCGTGTGGATTTGGTTTGTAAGCAGAGAACTGCTTACTGCAGTATTGTGTTTCTCTGTCATTATCTGACATTGAAGTGAAACTTAGCATGGCTGAATAAAACAGGCACTTTTGGCTAATTGGATTTGGAGTGACCTGATGGGCTGCCAGACCCTGGCCCATGAAGCAGAGGCCTTGCAGACTGGTATCTTTTGCCAGCAGCAAAAGAGCCTGGCTTAGGAAGCGATCCTCCAGCTGGGAAGAGTCATGTTCTGCATGTGCTGTAGGGTGAACACCTATCCAGACAGCTTTTCCCAGGTATGAAGTACCAAAGGCAGGTCTTTATCATCACTCCTCCTCTCAGTATTATTTTGTTATTAGTTGCTGTTCTGCCTGAATGCATTTAAATCCTTTCACGCTTAATCTGTATTCACGGCATATTAGGAAAATAGCATTTTAAACTTGGTTAATTTACAGACCTTGGAACTCCGGAGAACTGAGCGTAAAAGAGACGCAGGTCACACTGAAATGAGCTTGGGTCTCATCCAATTGCTAAAGAAAACTTACTAACAGCAGCCGTGCTGTATAATTTGATGTCACGCCACGTGATAGTGGGTTTTTATTACTAAAGCTCTAGGCCAGGAGTGAACAGCAGAAGGATCGAGACACGTTGGCAGAACTGTGCACATGCCTAAGGACATGAGTGAATACTGCTGCAGTATGACTGAAGGCTCTTGGCAAAGATCTATCAGAAGCCTGCTGTCCTGCATGTCTGTAGTGAGATAATGCTTCCTTCACCACTAACTACAAGCATTGCTCAGGGAATAGTCTGTGAGCTGTTTCGGGCTCTTTCCTTACACCTATATGGGCCCAAGATCCTGGTTCAGAAAAATGTATTGGGGAAAGCGAAATTCTTCTGAAGTTGCTGAACATTTTCTACCTGACTGTATAGGTCTGAGGTTTCATTGATGGATTTCCTGAAGTGATTTCTAGCTTCACCTCTATGTTTTTTCTACTCTCATATTTCACATCTGGATCAACAAATCTCGGAAAATAATGCCAGATGCTACTTTGATGCTTCTTGACTGGCCTCTTGCATCAATCTGATGTTGCATTTAATACTGGCTTTTGGTTTGAGCTTTAATGTTGCAGAGGATTTTTCTGGTGTTTGGGATACGACTGATAGTCGTATCGGTGCATATTTTTTTTCAGTGCATTTATGACTGCTCACGCTCCTCTGCAAGTTTTCATGGAGCTGCCTAGGTAAGTTAACAGCAGAGGCCAAGCACTGCAAAGGCCAAGACAAAGCCTTCAGGAAAAAGCATTTTGCATGAAGTTTGTGTAGTGTATCAAAGGCAGAGGAGTGAAGGAATGCTCCTTGTCTGTCCGACTAACTCCGTCATGGAGCACACTAGTAGCAGCTGGAGCCCTGAGTGTCCTCCCCTGGGATCTGTCAAGCCAAGGGTCTCTTCTGCAGTGAGCCAGCTCCCCCATCCTGTGGATAGGAGATGTCACCTCTGCAAGGGAGAACTTGGTGTGATGGCATGTGACTTGGTTCTCAAAAAGGAGAGGATTAAACTCAAGCCCAGGAGTAGGGCAGATAGTCTGCGATGGGACTTGTGTTGTCAGGAGTGCTTCATGCTCTGCAGACTAGCAGAGTGTGAGGGGATCTGACCATTTCCTTCAGTCCCTTAACACTCTCTATACACACCAGTACTGTCAGAATATTATCTGTAGCTCTGGTCCCCCATTACTGTTCTCTTGCTCCTAGAAGCAAAGTTATGCCAATTGATTCACAGGGAAAAGGAAGCAATGCTACTGAATTATGTGCAGATGGAGGAGGAGATTTGGTTATTTACTGGTTCATAATCTACAGGGATCGTGCTATCTGCTCCTCTGTCCCAGACCTTCCAGAAGCATATCAATATAATGAAGCTTTTTAGTTTTGTTTCTTCAAATTTGGGATATTTGCTGTCCCAGTTTCACTTCTATCTCTGAGTATGAAAGATGAATAAAGGGAATAAATAAAACAAAGTGAATAACACAACTGACTTAGAGTATCCACCAGAGTCTGAACTCTCACTGGACACTTTGATCTCTGAACCAAACCAACTGTGAAATCAGAGGTGGCTTGAATAAAAAACCAGAAAACTTCAAATTCTACTTCATCAGGGACTTGCATGAAAAACTCTTTAATTTGTATAATGCAAAATGAGAAGAGGTTCCTCTCTGGGTCTGAATTTTGAGGCCTGGGCTATCTCCGGCTTTTGTGAAGCCTGGCTAGCCTTCCTCTTTGCCTCTCTTCACTTCTGAGCTGTTCTCTGTCTTGGCTGAAGGTGGAAACAAGACAGATTGCTCCAAGTCCTTTCTGCAGGGTTTATGACACAATTTTGCAGGCAGCATGCAATGCAGCTATGAATCACAAGTCCTTTTAAGATACTGCTGAATTCAATTCCATAGCTCTTTCAGCTGGCTCAGAACAGGCTGTAGGTTGTGTTTTTTTTTTTTATAAAATCTAAGATATAGCCAATTTACTCAAGAGATGAGTATTTGCTGACTGTTGCTGCTATTCTTATGCTCAGAACTGCAAAGCCCTTGGAAAACGAGGCCAGCTCGTGCATGTGTGTACAAACCTGGCTTCAAATCTGGCTTGGATTCTCTCTTCCAGCTCAGCAAGTGACTGACATGTTCGCTTCAGCACAGCTTCCTCCTGAGACAACCCGTGGGCTGTGCCAAAGTGCCGTGAAGCGTTTGTTGCGTGTTCGGTCGCACACCAGCGGCAGATTCTGCAGCACCCTGGAGATGGGGGTGAGCTGAGGACAGCAGCAGCCGTGATTCAGAGCTGCTTTGCATTTCGGTCTTGCTAACAGTTCACTGCAAACAGAAATCCTTGGTATTATCTAAGATGCAAATCAGGTCCCACTTCACTAACACTCCTGTGTTGTCAAGGTTATTTGAAAGGAAGCGCTAAACCCATATTGCTTCTGTTCAGGTGAAATTCAGGTGTGGCTGAGGTTATGTTAGGTCCATAATAGTTTGTTAAAGGGACTCATAGTGAAGAATGCAGGAGTCCATGTGGTGGGGTGGTTCTGGGGCTGTGGCTCTGCTGGGAACAGGAATGGTGCTGGTGGGTGGTGGACAAAGAGGGCTTTGTGGCCCGACAGCACTCTGCACACATGAGGTGGTCATGTTTAGTGCGTTATTTGTCCTGTTTTTCTACTTATTCATTGTTTGGATGCATAGAAGAAGGAAGAGCTATAGCTGGAAGTGGCTTTCAGTTCCCATTTCACGTCTGAAGTACAAAGCCTGATGCTGAGCAGCCCCTGCAGGTAGCCCTGACTTTGATAACTGGCAAGAATGATTCCAACTTAAAATAAAGCTTGCTGTTAGTTACTCCTCTGAGCAAAGCAGCTGGTGTGACCTGGGCACGTTGTGCCTGGAGTGCTGCTGTGAGACAGCAGCTTGGCCTGAGGGACGAAGGCAACCTCCTTACCTTGCCCTCTGGGAGCAGTTACAGCGGGGCTCTCTGGAAACCAGTGCTTCTCTGAAGCTTACCGAGGCCATCTGAGAGTCTGAGGAGAACTGAAGAGAGAAAAGAAAGAAACGGGCTTTGATCTTCTCAGGAGATGGGGTTGGTGTTGTGTGGGTTCCTCCATGCAGCCTCCAGCTCTGTGTCATCCTCTCCAGTCAGAGCAGGGATGTGGGGAAGGGCAGCAGAAGGCAAGGAGCTGTTTATCCCTAAATACCAGCTGTGGCCCTCAAAAAGAGGGTTCACTGCTAGTGCCCCATCTCAGCTGGCAGAGGTTAAGGGCTACTTAATCTAGCTCCAGTCCAGTGCTCTGATCTATCCAAAACCCCAAGAGTTTGTGTAATTCACTGAAGAGAGAAGTGGAGGGTTAAAGAGAGCAGTGGGCAGGGGTCCAGCTTGGGTCAGGAGGTTTGCTGTTGTCCTGCAGTAACACATCAGTTATGATACCAAAACTCAAAGAACAAGGAGCATTCAGGTGTCCTGAAGGAAAAGGAAAGTGCTGTACTGCAGGCGTTTTGGGGGACACAGCTCAAGGTATCAATACTGACTAACCCCATGTCACGTCAGGCTTGGGCCTGTGCTTTTCCAGAGTCTTAGTGGTCGTGCAGAAAGCATTTCCTGGTGATTTACAGAGCTACCGCATTCAATGCAGTCATCAAAAATGCATAAGCAAGCAGAGTGAGGAACGTAGATGGAGTGTGCCAGACCTCTGCTTGCCTAGAGCAGAGGGGTCTGTGCTCGTACCGTGGCAGCTCAGCATCACCAGGCACCAGGGGTGCTGCAGCCAATTCTGGCTCCACCTGAAGCCGTTGCCAGAGCCATAAGGGAATTTTAGCTTAATGAGCCTGTCATGTTGTTGTGCAGGGATAAGTCAACAGCATTCACTTCCTTGCACTGCTCGATTGCAATAGGAATTGGGTTGCTCAGAGTTACTAGAGATGCATTTTCACTGCCATAAGCGAACTGTAAATATACCAGGCGCTGGCGGTTTCCACTCATTGCCTGAAGACATCATTTCTGTGGCAACGCAGCTCTGCAGCTAACCTAATAGATATTTGTGCAGAGCAGGGCTCGTTATCTCCAGTGCAGCACTGCCCTGGCATGGCCGTATGGCTTCCCACTCCAGAATTAGCTTAGCTGGGGTTTGCTTGGATGTCTGCACTGTCCTTCACGGTGTGGTGGAAACAGGCCCTGAGCAGTGCTGGTGGAGGAGCGGTGCATGCGTGCTGTAGTATTCCTCTGCTCTATATTTAGTGGGGAGGAGATGGACTCCAGAGCAACAAAGTCATTTAACAGCTCCTCTTGAACATTCATCTCAGACTTGGGTGAAGTTGTGGTCATCTTGGAGATATAGAGAACTACTAAATGGTGCTTCTCTGACTTACGTGAGGAATAGATTTGTCTCCAAGATCTCATTGCCTAAATAAACATGCCTAAAACTAACTGATTAGGAAGTAAGATGTTGGGAGGTGTTGTAAAACAGTGTACAGAAGATATTTGGGAGTGCTTTAACTCAAGATCTTCAGTATTTTGAAAATAAGACGAGTAAATTGGAATGGAGGGGAAATGGTTAGCTAGCTAAGGGAAAAAAGAGATGAATAATCACATATCCTATGGAAGCTGGGTTTATGCAGGTTCGGGTCTAGTTGTATCTTAATATAGGAAAATGCCTTACATGGAAAGGATTAGATGAGCATTTTTTTTTGGAGATGTAATCCCAGCCAGCTGTATAAACACAGTGCCCACTTCTGTTGCTCTATAAGGAGCCTCAGTTTGTCTCAGGAAAATTTCAAAATTATCATTGTCCTTAAGAGAAGCTGTTTTGAGGAAGGGAGATAGGGGTATATGCCCCAGGGCAAGATCATGTATTTTTTTTCTTTTTTTCTGCTAATGCTCCCAAATGTGCCTTTTTTTCTTACTGTAGTACTGGATAAATGAATACACCTCCACCTTGGGGATTGGTGTCTTCCACTCTGGCATCGAGATCTACGGCAGAGGTATGAAGCATTTCCTTTTCATTACCTGTAGAACAGAGAGAAAATTGCATGGCTAGTCTGATACAGAAAAAAAAAAATCCCAAATGCATAGCTTTTGGCAAGGAGTGAGAAACTCAGCCAGCTTTGTTTTAGAGTCCATTGTGGAGTCCAGCTGGAACTTGTGCAGTTCTGCCATGAATAAAGTAGCTCTTTGTATCTTCAGCATGTAATTGCAGCCTCTACAGCTTGTGCAGGTGTGTAGCAGGCTGGCAGATAGAGAGAGAGGACCAAACAACACTGGAAAGACCTGCAACAAAGGAGGAGGAGAGTCTGGGGAGGGGGAAGAGATGCGGATCAGTGGCTGTCTTAAAACCTGCATAAGGATGTTTGTACTAATTCCATGCCAGAATAAACCAGCTTTGCAGTAATTCTTTATGAATGTCTGTGCTTTAGAAGTCTTAGAATTTGCATCTCCAGATCTTAGAAATTTTGATTTTCAAACAGCAGAATTAAAAGAAAAAATAAAATGTCTTGCAAGGCTTTTTGAAATGGTCTGGATGGGGTTGAGGCTGATTACAGCACCCAAGGTATCTGGAAAAACAGCTGTAGCATAGCGAAGCCAAAGGATAGAACAGCATCACAGACTTCTCGTTGCCCTCTTCAGCCAGTGCTAAATGGGAATGACTGGGGTTACCTCACTCGTGGTATTTTTAGCTAGTGCCATGCAGCAGATAAAAATCCCTGGGGTGCTGTGTTCTGTCGTGAGCACAGCAGCTTTCACAGACCGTGCAAGGTGGCCTGTATAACACGGAGGGGGCCTCCAGGCTCAGCCCACGTGCTAAGGCAGCAGTGTGTAATCAGCTTTTTTTTTTTTTTTTTTTCCCTACAAAGAATTCCCCGTAGCTGCCTGCTGTGCTGCCATCTGGAAGAAGGGGACTGATTTCTCCCTACTCTAGAAAAGATTTCTTCTAGCTCGGTGCCACCACCGACAGCCTCACAGTATTTCCAGATGCCTCCACCACAGAACTTCCCACTGGCCTGTATAGGCACAGAGACAGACCTGGAGAGCTTGCCTGGTGTTGAGGAGCAGATTAGCAGCACTAGCTGCTAATTAGCTGTGCAACCACTAGTATTAGCATTGGTGGAGCCTGCTCTGGAGCTGAGGCTGTGAGAGTATCCTCAGGCTGATAGGTACCTGGAAAGAGAAATTGGCTGAGGCTGACTTTAGCAATAGCTCAGCCCCTGGTGCTGATGCTGAGCCACGCAGACAGCTGCCATAGACTTCTTCCTGACACAGCGTTCATTCGATTACTCACAGTCTGTTTCTTTCCTCATCAGAGTTTGCCTATGGAGGGCATCCCTACCCTTTCAGTGGGATTTTCGAGATCACACCTGGCAGTGCGGTAGAGCTTGGCGAGACCTTTAAATTCAAGTAAGGGCCCTTTTCTACGTCTTCCCTGCTCCCCCTACAATGACAGCTACCAGAGGGAGAGGGGAAGTCCTCTCCTCTGGGTCTTCCTCTCCCTCTCATTAGCACCCTCACTCCCTCCTTTACATGATCCTGGTTCAAAGGCAGCCCTGCAGGGGTTTTGAAGGCAGATTAAAGGGTGTACAACAGACAGGGAGCAGTGCTGAACTGTGTTTGGCAGAGTTTAAATGTATACAAATGCCTTACAAATGAATGTAGTTCTCTCTTCCAATTTTCTTTGCTTTCTGTACTCCTGGTTTCATCTGTCAGCAAGAATGGGAGTAGCTGTGTGTTATGCAGAGCCAGTGCAGAGGGGAACAGAAAGCTTGTCTTTTCATGAGGATTGCCTATTTGTGGATGTTGCATGGAGTATGACAAGTCATCTCCTGGGTTTAGTGCTACACTATCGCAAAGGACAGGCCAGCTGCTAGAGGAAACTGAGAGGATACTTCATTAAGGCGCTGTTCAAGGTGTTCAGGTTTTGGGGCTGTGGTTCAAGGAACTGCCCATGGCAGATGGAACTTGACCTTCACACATTGCCAGTTTACATTGAGGGATGTTGGGGACTTGTAGAGGAATGAACACTATTGAATGAATATTGGAAGAAACAATATGTTTATGCATAGAACTGTCTGCTCCTTCCTGGCCCACACTGTGGAAACACTCTCCATCAAAGGAAAAGCATCTCCTCTGTCCTACTGAAAGCTTCTGCAGAGGGGCTGTGGGCAGAGTGGGAAGCAAGCAGACCAGTGCAGCTGAGACTTCCCTTGTGTGAGCAGGAGGCTCTCAGGACTGGTTCTGTGCTGTAACCAGCTTTGTAGATAAAAAGGATATTTTTTGAGGATATTAGTATGCCATTTTGTTAGTAAGGGTCTCTCTGATAGCCCCGGATATTCATGCCAGTGTCTTACACCTGGCCTTCTTGCCATTGCTTTGTTTTCTTTTCCCTGGGTACATATCACTCTCTGCACTGTAGCTTTCCATGTTTTTTTGTGTTGTGTTTTGTTCTTAACTAGAGAATCCATTGCCTTGGGCACCACAGACTTCACAGAAGAAGATGTGGATAAGATCATGGAAGAACTGGGCAAGGAGTACAAAGGCAACGCGTACCATCTGATGCACAAGAACTGTAATCACTTCTCTGCTGCTCTGGCTGAGGTGGGCACAACTGTCTTCTTTCTCTACTTTTTTGCTGCTTCTGATCTGTAGTAGTGAGTACAGAAGGGGAGCTAGGATCAGCACAGCCTGCCACTTCAGAGTCAGTAGTCGGCTCTCCTGTCTCTGCCCTTAATGTTTTTGAAAACCAGTTGCTGTTCAAAACGATGGGGTTAGGAGATGGAGATGCATCAGGTTTGTCACAGGTTTGGTCTAAACTGTGGGTAAAACTTGAACTGCCTGCATTGTGGCTCACTGAATAGGCTGCTGAGCAGGAAACGGAAAGACAAACCTGGCTTGCGTGCAGATGTGCACCATTTTAATAGCAAGAATATAAACAACCTTATATGATGTGAAAAGGAATAAAAGAGGCTTCTCAGTGTTCTGCTAACAAAATGTTGCAGCGTTCAGGAAGTGAGTGTTCCTTTTCCTTATTTAATGTGCACCATCTAAAACTCATTTTACAAAAAAGTATTCATTTTTCTCATAACTCTTTGGTACTTACATATTTCCATGTTCCCAAAAACGCTGTGAATTTTAACAGAGCTGTTATTTCTCTTCAGAGATGATTGAAGCACAGAGAAATGCAAATTTACCCTCTTTCCTAATCTGAGATATTGATTATTTAATTTTTAAATTGACAAATAAAAAAAAGCTGAGATGTTTAAAGCATGTTTCCATTAAGGTACGTGTATTTCAGCACTTATGTAAATCTGTTTTTGGGATCTTGACGCAGTGCCAGAAAAGAAATGAAAAGAAGGAAGTGCAAATGACCTTCCATTTAGCAAAACAAAACCAACCAAACAAAACCACCACCACTACCAAAAAACAATGCCACTGTTTCTGTGTCTTCCATAGGCATTTTATGGCAACTGCAAGGATAGAATCTACTCCATGTGGAGAAAGACAGCTTGAAATCTGTTAAGACAAAACCTGTTTGAGCTGAAAGCAATGGAAGTTTCTATTCTCATTTCCCAACATCTGAATACTCGCTTAACTTTACATCCTTGGTACTTTCTTTTTGTTGTTGTAGTTCCCATTAAAAACAAACAAAACCTGAACACTGTCCCTGTCCTTCCCCCCCCCCCAGATTAGACTGCTCCAATCCCTGTCATGTAGAGCTGTAAGGTGCAGCCTTCAGCTGTTAAAAGCAAGCAGAATGCATTGACCACATGATATGTGGCTCTCAAGCTGTGTGTCACCATAGAGGGTAGAAAGAACTGAGATTGGTGCTCTGAGACCAATTCTGAGACTAATCTGCCTAGTGTTTGTATTGTCCTTTCCTTCAGACTCTTCATCTGTGACCCAGCAATAATAATAATCATCATCTATTTATGCACAGCGATGTTATGTGGTAGCTAAAAACAGAAAACAGGAAAAAGTATTCAAAGACTTAAAAGAAAGGCTGTTAGAAGCTTTGTTTGGCAGAATAAATCTGCCCCAGAGCACGAGCAGCGTGGTAACGTCAGGTTCTTCTGAGCCTCCTGACTACTGCCAGGCAAGTCACATCCCTGCTTTGTGCCTGACTGTCCCCTCTTGTATGCTGGATGACTTCCTTCCTTTGAAATTTCCCATAAAAGCTCTTATCTGCTAAGGTTAATTAGCTGCCTTGTGGCTTGCATTGCTCTCTATCAGCAAGCCCTATCAGAGCTGGAACTCAGAACTGGTGATGTGTGGGTTCAGGTGTTCTCACAAATGCCTCTGGCAAGCCTTGAGACAGGGCTGTACGGCCATGTGCTTGAGGGCTGTGCCTGACCTTCCTAACTTCCTCACTGGCTGCAGGCTTGCTAATTAGGATCCATACAGGACACCTGTAGGCCAGGTTCCTCATCCTCACATGGACTGCTGGAATCACAGGAGTAGGACTTTGCTTTCAAAGTTCCTGTTTTCTTGTCCTTTGTAATAGTATTTTCTCAGCAAATAGAACATATATCTAAAATCTTCCATCTACTTCTGCCTACGAACAGTTTTTCTGTTAAATTCATATTTAATGTAACGATGCTTCAGGTCTCACCATGGTAACTGGCAGTTGTTGTCTTCAATAGTTACAAAACTTGCTGTCTAAGCAGGCAAAGCAGACTGACTACGTTAATGGTTAGGGAGATGTCCAGACCTATGTCATGAACGTTTGGCCGTGCATCTTGAAAAATTCCTGGATAGCAGCAGGTCCAGCACAGGCAGATAAACTCTACTGAACCACAGGGCATGCTTTTTCTTGATACTTACCTCTGGAAAAAACTCATCTAGCTGTGCTGTTATATGCCACAGTGGTGCTGAGCCTCTCCCTGCAATTCCACACATCCTTTCTGGGCCTTCTGATTTTCCTGCCCACGCTCACTTGTGAGTTACAAGGGGCTTTGTTACTCCCTTGCTGGTACTTAGCTTTGAATTTTCCTTTCTCGCTGCTGCAGACTGCAAAGCGTGTTTGGACTCGCTCAAGACTTAGATCTCTTCCCCACTTTGCCAGTTCCCCATGGCCTTCTAACGTGCAGTGACTGGATCAAAGATGGATGGATCTATTAACAAAGCAACTCCCGTGGAAAGAAAACTGAGAGTGCCATGGTTTCAGCAGCAGAAGTTCAGACTTCAATTTCTCCGATGCTGTTTCGTGGAGAAAGCTTTCTCAGAGTGTGATTCAGTGAAGGTGCTGTGTGATCAGGAATCTTTTCCTGTGGATTTTCTGAGAAATATCTCATCAGGGAACTTTAGAATGTTTAAGAAGTGAAGAACTACCCAGGACTGTAAGTCTCTGCCCATTGAGTGCTGCACACCATCTTCACTACACTTTTGAAGGAAGTTCTGCTGTAACATCATGCAGAATTTCCTGGTGGTTAGTCATCAGAGAGAAATTAGATGCACTCCATGTGTATGTACCTGGCTTCAATTTAAGGAAGTTGATACACACACCACTTAATACCCCTTGGCGGTCTCCTTTTACCCTCACAATCTGTCAGTGAGGGAAGGTGAGGGAGCTTGATCTAATTAGTGAAAATCTAGTTAGTGTTGTTTCAGCCACTCTGACTGCTGCTACATGGTCCCGTGGTACCCATTTTTATAAAACCACTTAAGCAAATTGCTTGTGGGTTAAAATGAAGAGGTTCATCAAACTGGAATTAGCAACTTGCCTACAAGGAGCTTGTTCATTTCATGTTGCTTATGTTGACAGTCACCAAAATCAAGCAGCATCAGTACCACGCTCTCTGAAGAAACTGTCCAGGAGGATGGGCATTCCTTTTAGGGGACTTGTGCCTATGATTTCTGCAAAGAAAAATCAGTCAGGCCACCAGCAGCCAAGCCCAAGCTTTTCGTGCTGTTCTGAGCTTCTGTGCCTTGCTGCGTGTCAGTACTCCAGGCACTTCAGGGAGGTGATGCAGCAGGCACACAGCAGGGATTTTAGCATTCTGATAATATTATGTGTGTGGGGAGAACGCAGTTAGGACCACATCAATACTGGGTGAAGTCCTTCTGTTTGATCATCTGTTGTTCAGTCACTGTGTTCCTAACAATCCCAGCAATATGTACAAATGGCCCTTCAACGAACAGCAAAATATTTATGTTCTTTATGAGTTGCCCTGCCTGATGAAAGAGGCTATTTAAACTCTCCCAGATGGAAAAATATTGGCTATTAAGCGTTAGAAAAAAAAAAAAAAAAGGCTTTAAAAATAAAAAGAGAGGCTAAAATAATTAGTCCTTTCCATAATGTGATTTGTTGAGTTTCCTGGTTTTCAGAACAAGGACAGAAGTTACAAATTCCTGTAAAGCAGATGTGGAGAGAAAGGAATATAGTTGTGCTTTCAGCAGAAAGCTAAACTCAAAGTAATTCCTGGTCTGGAAGGAAGGACCTGCATGCTTGAGGTCGCAACCATGCCATTGCTTTTCAAGAGCACTTGTTACTACAGCAGCAGGAAGCAAGGAGGTTTGCTGTGAATAGTGTGCTTGGGGTGCTGAGAAAGAGATGCAATTATACTGTCACCAAGCCTGTTCTTTGGGCATAGATAAAGGTAGATGCACACAGATATTGGGAACTGTGAAATTGCTGTCAGAGAGCTCTCTTTTCATTGCAGAGCATGGCTCTTGATTATTCTGTAACTCTTAAATACAACTTGGACCTGTGGAAGGCAGATACTAGGTAAAGCAAAAGCATAGTTGGCACAACTTGTACCCCAAACACACATGGAGGTGAAAGGTTGACTGTCAGGGGTTCAAATGGGGGCAAGTAAGAATAAGCCCTGTTCATGTGTAGGCATATGGTGAGTGTACGGTGCCCAAGGACATCTTTAGAGAAAACAGCTGTAACTGGAGGATCAGAAGGAGGATGAAGGTTTTCTCCTTCCAGGTTCTTCTCCAGTCTGGTGATATTCCTCAGTACTGAGTGTAAGGACACTGTCACTGCGACTTAAAAACTCAGAGAAAGCTTCTGCTGCTTAGCCCATTCACAAACAGAAGATGACTCATTTGACTTCCCACCAGCAATTTTCCATGCTTCTGAAGTTTCCTATCTTAGATAAGTTATGGAGCCCTGTTCCTACCAGAGTGACGACAGTTGCTACAGCATGCCTCAGAAAAGGGCAAACCACCATGGGAAGGGAGAAAAACACCTTTGAATCAGTACCAGAACTGGAAGATAAGTGGAATGACTCAAGGAAACCATTCCTTCTCCCTTCACCAATGTGATTACTGCCAAGCAACCAAAATGCTTGATATTTAAATAAATTGTTTAGCACCTTGCTATAGGACACATGGCACGCAATTATCAAAGAAGCGAGGCTTCTGTGAGCACCAGGGAAGATAACCTCTCTTATTCCAATTGCCAGCTGTAGAACAGCAATAAAGTCAGTAGGTCTTATGGGCCCTTTTGGCAAGATATGAAGCTGATGCCCATCATAATTAGGAAATGAATTGAGAGGTACAGATTTGATTCACCTTAAAGATTGTTGATGTTGGAACTTTATCAGAGTTATCAGAGGATAGTAGTGATGGAAGATTTTATTCTTTTATCATGT